CCCCGCCAGTATGGCGTCGGTCTCGTCGCATCCCGCAGCGCTGAGCGCTGAGCAGGCCAAGGGTGAGCGGTGTTGGCGCGTGCGGGGCCGCGGCCTGGGTGCGGGGTGCGAGGATGGGCTCGGACTCGATCAGCCCTCCAGCTCTCCTCCTCTAAACCTCGCCCGCTTGTGCCCGCCGGGCCCCTGCCCGCAGTGGTCCTGGCGGAGGTGATCCAGGCCTTCTCCACCCCCGAGAATGCCGTACGCATGGACGAGGCTCGGGACAACGCGTGCAACGACATGGGCAAGATGCTGCAGTTCGTGCTGCCCGTGGCCACGCAAATCCAGCAGGAGGTGATCAAGGCCTACGGCTTCAGTTGCGACGGTGAAGGTGGGCCCGCGGCTTGGCGAGGGGCGCGGCCGAGAGGGGTCCCTTTCTCCCGCCACGCGGCGGTACCTAGTCTCCGTCGTCCAGCCCGACTCCCCGCGAGAGCTGGGCTTGCTCGTCCCGGACTCGGGCCTCCCTTCTCCGGGCTGTGGCGAGCTGTGTCCGTGGCTGCAGCTACTGTAGTGGTCGGAGGCTGAGTTTTCTCGGTGAGATCGCGGCGCTCCCCAGGGTGTGAGCGACTGGGGCCTGAGCGCTCTGGGGAGTGAGAAACCCGTGGTCGGGATGTTTTCATTCCCCGCCTCCCATCCGGTGCCCAGTGTTCACCCAAACCATGCAGGTGGGAGGCCTGTAGGGTCCTGTGTCGTGGATGGGCCCGGCCACAGGGTGGGCTGCCCGTCACCATAGCGCACCCTGGTCTCGGGGTTGCGGGGTGACTACTCTGCGTTCCCCCTGTCAGGTGTTCTTAAATTCGCCCGCCTGGTGAAGTCTTATGAAGCCCAGGATCCTGAGATCGCCAGCCTGTCCGGCAAGCTGAAGGCACTGTTCTTGCCGCCCATGACACTGCCGCCCCACGGGCCACCTTCCGGTAGCAGCGTGGCCGCCTCCTGAGAACTTGCCTCCCATCGCGCTGCTGCCAGGGAAAGGGAGGCCAGGGTGTGGCGGAGGACAATAAACGCGCTTGTGATTGAGCCTGTGTCTTCTCCTGAAGCCCTGCCCCTGTCTGAAGACACCGCCTCCTTTCCGGGGCCCCTTCCCCTCGCCAGGCCCTTCCTGTCCCCCTCAGCCGCCCTGGGCCCAGGCCACTTCCTGGTCCCCAGCCGCCCAGACTGCTGTCAGTGCGAACTCAGGTGGCGCTGCAGGTGGCTCCTCCCCTCTTTGGCCAGGATGGACGGAGGGGTAGCGGGCAGTGCCTGGGCGGTCTCGGCGGGCCCCGCCCCACCTGCCTGCTGGAGACCATTAGTCCACGCCAGTCCTTGTCGTGCCATTGGTCTGGCCAGCCGGATTAAGGAGGAAGTGGCAGATCCCGAGCGGTCTTCCTTCCTGGACTGGTGCAGAGGTCCGGCCTGGTCCCGCCCCCTCTGACCGGCTCCCTCGCCCCGCGGGAGATGCTGTCCAGCGGGTGAGTCCCCCGCTCGTGCCTGGCCCTCGGGCTCCTGCAGAGGGAGGGCGCACTGCCGCTGCACAGCGGTGACCGGCTAGGCTTCCCAGCCCTGCTTTCTCCATTTCCCCACGGTTGTGTAACTCCTTTCTTCATGACATTCTCAGGGCCTCTTGTCCCCTGCTTCTGTCCCCGCCTGGGTAGGGGACACTAACGCACACGTGACAGGCACACCCGAGGGACTCACAAGTTCCCAGCCCACTTCCCTGGTACCCTAGCACCTGAGCCTGGCTCTGTTTTGCTCCCTCCACTTCCTCCCCACATCGCTCAGCGGTGAGTGTGGAGCCGCCCCTCGGTGAGGCAGGTGTGGTGGTCCCGGCTCCCACACAGCTGACGTTTCAGTGGGGGTGACAGGCTGAGCTAGGGTCTACCCTGTCAGCCCAGCTACTCGGGAGGCTGAGGCAGGAGGATTCCAAGTTTGAAGCCACCCCAGGCAACTTATCAAGACGCTGTCTCAAAAAAGGACTGGGGGAAAAGGGAAGAAAAAGGCTGGGGATATATAGCTCAGTGCTGCATGGGTTCAATCCCTGGTACTACACTAAAAAGCACAAACCAAAAGGTAGGACTGTCAGGCGCTTGGAGATCTTATGTAGATGTGCACAGCCTGGGTACTAGCGCAGGCTGGTGCTGAAGGAGCGAAGACTGGATGGGGGGAGGGTACAGCACAGGGTGATCAGGAGTCTCACAGCCTTGGGCCCAGGAAGTGGCAAGTGTGGGGCTGGGCACGAGACACGGGGAGGAGGAGGCCGGGAAGAGGAGGCCAGGGAAGCAGGGCTGGGGAGGGCAGGCCTGGCTGGCATCTTCTAGGGCGTCCCTTCTTCCCTTTCTACGCTGCCAGCCGCACACCTTATGGGTGCCAGCCTTGCGGAGGGCTGTCCTGCAGTTTTCCATTTCCGGGCCCTCAGTGGCACAGCCGTGGTCATTTTCCTACCAGGTGGCTTGGCAGGGCCTCGCCTGGGCAGAATCCTCAGCCTGGACAAGCAGTACCCACAGTGACCGGCCACCTCTGAGCCCTTCGGCAGGCTCCTGTGCCCTCTGTGCCTTGCTTGCTGTCACCCCTGGGAGGCACCTGCCCCTCCATCTTCTGTCCGTACCCAGCATCTGCCCGCAGTGGGCGCAAAACACAGTGGCAGACTGGGCCCCAGGCCATCACAGCCGGGCTTGGCCATGTTCCCACGTACTAGCTTGTGACCTAGGGAGAGTTACTTAACACTTCGGAGTCTTGGTTTTTGTTTCTAAAACTGGGCTTATAAACCAGGTATGGGGGCGCACATCTGTAATCCTAGCACTCAGGAGGCTGAGGCAGGAGGATTGCCATGAGGTCAAGGCCAGCCTGGGCTACATGGTGAGACCCTGTCTCCTCCTCCTCCTCCTCATAATACATTTGTTCCTCTGTCCCTCAGCATCCATGGGGGGATTTCAAGGGTTGGTTATAGGACCACGAGCAGATTTCCAAAGCCTGAAGCCGCTCCACTCTCTGACATAAATGGTGCGGGATTTGCATAGCGGCCCTAGGTCCCTGTCCTGGGGATCACCCAAGTGTCACACAGGGGAATGCTCTCAGTAGCATCGCCTCGCCTTGTGAAGGGAAGGAGGAGAAAGAGGAACATCAGCAAACACACAACCCCTGGCTCTTCTACAGTGGGGCTTGAACCCAGAGCCTTGGCACTGAGCTGCCTCCTCAGTCCTTAGGACATTTGCCTATTTAGACAAAGCCTCACTGTGTAGCCAAGCTGACCTTTAATCTGCAGTCCCCCTGCCTCAGTCTCACAAGTGCTGGGATTTCAGGAAGGCACCACCATGCCTGACCAGAACAGACACAATGTTAAAAAAGAAAACAAAACTTTTTTCAGTCTTTAGGATGGCAGACTTGTGGTTGTGTAGAGCAGGATATACAATGTAAAAGCCCTTGATACTGAAGTTCTACCACTTGTCAGGTTTTTTGTTTTGGTACTTGGAATGGAACTCAGGACCTCACTCTTGCCAGGCAGGCGCTGTGCTGGTGAGCTACATCCCCAGCCCCCTTTTGAGAAAAGGTGTTACTCTGTTCTTCATGCTGGCTTTGAACTCATTGTGTAGTCCAAGCTGGTCATTGGCCTACTCCTGGTGATCCTCCTGCCTCAGCCTTCTTAGTGCTGGGATTACAGCTGGGCACCACTGTGTCTGGCCTTCTTTTGGGACAGAGTCTTGCTGTCTAGTTCAGGTTCCTCTTCAACTTGCTATGTGGCCCAGCTCTTCTCTTTCTCTTCCCCCTCCTCCTGTTTTGTTTTTGTGATGGGAGACTTGCTACGTTGCCCAGATTGGCCTCAAATTTCTCAGTTTAAACCAGGCATAGTGGGGCATGCTTATAGTTCCAGCACCCTGGAGGCAGAGGCAGGATTGCCGAGTTCGAGGCTAGCCTTCAGGCAGTATACTGCAAGACCCTGTCTAAAAAAACCAAAACAAAACAAAAAAACCCAAAAACGTACAAAAATTCCTCCGTTTAAAAAACCCTACAGGGCCAGAGATTTAGCTCAGTGGTTCTGGCACTGCCCTCATAAGCACAAGGACCGAATTCGATCCCCGGTAACAAAAAAAAACAAACCAGACAAAAAAAACTTGCATTCAGTGGACCCTGCCTCAGCTTCTGGTGTGGCTGGGTAATCACTGGTGTTTGGGAACTGGGTTTGCCCTTCTCATCAGGTAGGGATACCGAAGCTCAGAGAAGCCCAGTAGCGATGTGAAAATCATGCAGACTACACTTTCAGACCCTGGGAGGCTAAGGCAAGGGGATTGCCTGTCCGAACTATAACAGACGCTGTCTGGAGACAGCTGGAAAGGTTCTTCACCTTGCTGTCAGCCGCCTGTCTTCTTGAACCTGAGCTAACCTCTGCCTCAGGTTGCATTTATCTCCTGAGGCTTATCAGGCCCTTAGCTGTGTAGTCCTCAGACTCCTTGAAGCTGTTTCTTCCTTACAAACGGGAAATTCCCTTGTCACAGGGCAGCCTGGCACCTCACACAGGACGGTCGCATGTATGCCATGCGTTCCCTGCTCCAGGAATTCTGCCAAGTGACAGCAGGACCTGTGCATCTAGTTTTAGTTTTTGTTGTTTTTTGAGATGGGGCTTTGTTATGTACACCAGGCTGGCCTTGAGCTCATTCTGCAGTGAAGGCTGGACTCAAACTTGTAGCAATCCTCTGCCTTAGCCTCCCCAATGCTGAGACCACAGACAGGTCACCATGCCCAGTGAGGGCCTGTGCGACTTATCCAAATGTGTGTCTGTGGCTTGGATCCTTCAGAGAAAGCGCTGCCACTTCCTGGGTAGAAGAGATCAGCGTCGGTGGAGGGAGGGTCCTCCCCGGGGCCTGGGTGCTGGGGCTGAGCACAGGCTGCAGGCCTGATGTGGTCAGGATCAGGATCAGGATTGAAGCCAGACTGGGTCAAGCTTCATGATGCTGACATCTGCTGCGTGTCCTGGGCTGGGCTCCGTGCTGGGCATGTACGGCCCAAGCCCATTCTGCATTGATTCTTCTGCCAGGCAGCCTGGACCCGAGAGGCCCTGGGCTCTGGGTCAGGTCGGCGGAACCCAAGGTGGTGCAGGACTGTGTGATAAAGTGACTGAGCAAGATTCCCCAGGGCACCAGCGGGCAGGGAAACCAATTCTGGGGAAAAACTATAATCAAAGTTTCTAAAAATGCTAAACTAAGCTGGTTGTGGTGGTCAGCAGCTGGGAGGTGGGGAGGATTGAAAACTGGAGTCCAACCTGGGCAGTTCAGCGAGGCTCTGTCTGGAAATAAAACATGAAGGGAGGGCTGGGATGGAGCAAGTGTGGAGGTACTGGTTCCAATCTTCATACCTGGGGGAAGGTGTTTGTCATGGAGAAATCAGACTTTTTCTTTTTTATTCTTATGGCACAGAAGGTGGAAACCAGGACTTCAGCAGGATAGGCAAGCATTCAACCACTAAGCTACATTCCCAACCCTTTCTATTTATTTTTAGAGACAGGATTTCATGTAGTCGCCCAGATTGAGGTCCTTGCTGCCTCAGCCCCTCAAGTATGCATTACAGGTATGGGCCACCACCTACCATTTTAGTTTTTAAAAAATTGAGATATAACTATAGTGCTGGATGTAGTGGTGCACACCTGTAATCCCAGCACTCGGGAGGCTGAGGCAGGAAGATCGCTGTGAATTTGAGGCCAGCCTGAACTAGATAGCAAGACCCTGATTTTTGTTTGTCTGTTTGTTACTGGGGATTGAACTCAGGACCTTGCACTTGAGAGGCAGGCAGCGGCCTCACTGAACTGAATCCCCGGCCCAGTTTTTGTTTTTTTGAGACAGGGGTAGTTCAAGCTGACATTGAACTTGGTGACCCTTAGCCTGCCTAGTGCTGGGATCACAGGCCTGCAGCCCCACAGCCACCGCATGATCCTGTTTTCGAAAGACGGAAAACAGAACAAAAAGAGATATAATATGCATTCAACCTGATCAACTTCACGGGGGATAGAGCCCAGGGCATGGCACGTGCATGCACTTGCTTTATCATGCAGTCCCGCCACAGCCCAACTTCATGTCTGTTTGTTTTTTTATAATTAAAAAATATAATTATTTTGGTGTTTTGAGACAGGGTTTTGCTATGTCATTCAGGCTGGCCTTAAACTCACTGTGTATGTAGCCCAGGCTGGCCTGGACTCAGTGGTCTTCCTGCCTCTGCCTTCCTAGTGCTGGGATTACAGGCCTATGCCACCAACTTCATATTTAAACAGACCCACGTGAATCCCACCCAGATGGAGACACAGGGTTCCCAGCACCTCAGAACTTTTGTAGAAATTGCAGTCTCCTGGACAGTGTATTTATTTTTATAAGGTCCTGCAGTGCAGGGCCATTGTGTACTACTGGGGGCACCTGCAGCCTGGAGTCCCTGCAGCAGGGGCAGGCATGAGGCACAGCTGTCCCCCCAGGGTGCTGCTCAGCTCTTCCTTGGGCCTGACTTGGTGGCCTTTGCACTTGGAATGGCGCACAGAAAGCATCTCAGTGCCCTTTTGGAGCACTGGGGCGGAGCTGGTGGGTCATCTGTCCCCCTCTGCGGACAGACGGTGACGGGGGTGGGGGGGTGGGGGGGCACCCTGGCCTGGAAGCCTCTACAGGTCCCCCTCTCTGCAAGCCCTGTGGGCAGGGAGTGGCCCAGCTGCTGTCCCCCAGGCCAGAGCAGTTACAGTGACTGACTTTGGAGCCAGTCTGGCCTCTTTGGAACTGTGTGGCCCTGGGAGATGCCACAAACTCCCTGAGCCTCAGTTTTCTTGTCTGTAAAATGGGGACAGAGGGTCCCCATGTCGTGGGGCTGTGGTGAGAACAACTCTAAGGCCCGTGGGTGGCATCGTGGCAGCACCTGGTGGGCAGTCGCTGCCATTGCTGCTGGTTAGTGTGGCAGGGGGTCGGGGCTGGGAGGGCCGAGTCGCATGTCCTCACCTGTGTGCGCCCAGCCCAATTCGGCCGTGTGGGAAGCCATCCCTCCCCCCTGATTCTCCTCGCTGCTCTGCTCCGAAAAGAGAAGTACATGTGAGTTCCCCCAGGGGTCGGCCGCGCCCCTTCCTGTCCCCGCCCTGCGGCTGCCCCGGGATCCCCCCTGACTCCTCGCTGCTCTGCTCCGAAAAGAGAAGTACATGTGAGTTCCCCCAGGGGTCGGCCGCGCCCCTTCCTGTCCCCGCCCTGCGGCTGCCCCGGGGACAGTGGAGGGATCGGCAGCCCTGCGCCAGGACTGAGGGCTGAGGTGGCGAGGAGGTGGCCTGGGCCCTACAGCCAAGGTTGAGGCCCAGCCGAGCCCCCTGCTGCCGGGACAGGCTGCACCTCCTCTTTCCTGGCACCCCTTCCTCTCCAGCAGCCCCAGGATGGTGAGGTAAGGGCTGGGGCCCTCAGGAGCAGGTGGCAGGGCAGGGCTGGGCGCCTCCTCACTGCCCTCACACCGCCAGGTGGTTCCACCGAGACCTCAGCGGGCTGGAGGCAGAGACCCTGCTCAAGGGCCGGGGCGTGGATGGCAGCTTCCTGGCTCGGCCCAGCAGCAAGAACCAGGGTGACTTCTCGCTGTCCGTCAGGTAGGAGGCGCAGCCCTGCTCCCTGTCCCGGTCGGTCCCCGTCTCCCAGCCCATCCCTCACCCTCAGCGCCTGGCACCCACAGGGTAGGGGACCAGGTGACCCACATTCGGATCCAGAACTCAGGGGACTTCTACGACCTGTATGGAGGGGAGAAGTTCGCCACACTCACTGAGCTGGTGGAGTTCTACACCCAGCAGCAGGGCGTGCTGCAGGACCGTGATGGCACCATCATCCACCTCAAGTACCCACTCAACTGCTCCGACCCCACCAGTGAGAGGTGATGAGCCACCCCCTGCCCTGGGAGGGAGCAGCCTACCAGCCCCCTGCCCTTCTCCCGGGTCCCTGTCAGCTGCCAGGGTGGCCCTGCATGTGGCAGAGAGGCCACTCCTGGGCTGGCGTCCCCCCAGCCCCGGCAGGTCACCCTGTTGCTCGAAAGCTCTTTCTGTGGCTCCGAAGCTGCTTCCTGCAGCTCTCTGGGCCCTGGCCAGCTCCTTAGAGCCACGAGAGGCTGGTGTGCAGGCCTGTCATGGGTTCCCTTTAACAATGTTTTTAATTTTTGTTTCTTGAGACAGGGTCTCGCTGTGTAGCTCAGGTGGGCCTTGTATAGCCTGCGTGGCTCGTGGTGATCCTCCTGCCTCAGCCTACGGAGCTCTGGGGATTGCCTTTTTCAATGACACTTAGTGCCTTTATCTCAGCAATCCAGGGAGGACTGGTCGTCCATTGGGGTTGGATGGAGCTTGGCCAGTCCCAGGGTCCCAAGCAACATGGATAATTACAGACAGGTGTGATGTGGTCTCGTGCACAGGGCCTAGCTCTGTTCCTGGAGGGCAGGTTCTACCCAGGCCATCCCTCCTCCCTTTGCTTCGAAGATAGGGCCCCATAATTGGGCTGGCTGACCCCATGCGGTCTCCCCAAATCATGGGTGAGGGAGGGGGAAACACAAGTGCTGAGTGTTGTATAATCCCAGTCCTCTGGGAGGCTGAGGCAGGAGGGTTCCAAGTTGAAGCCCAGCCTAGGCAATTTAGTGACTTATGAGATGTCTCAAAATACAAATGAGCTGGAGATGTAGCTCAGTGTTAAGGCCCCGGATTCAATCCCTCGTACCACCACCACCACCACCAGAAATAAAGCCCCTCATTACACTGGCCCGGTTTAGCGTTTTTAGGGTCAAGGTAGGGAAGGACCCAGTCCCGGGCTTGGGCAGAACTCCCTCTGTTTGTGTGCTCACTGTTGCAATGACAGTGACCTTTGGTGCTGCAGTGTTTAGTAATTGTTTTTTCTTTGCTGCTGGGACGGAACCCAGGCCTGGTGAGTCCAGTGTCACATTTGCTCACGGAGCTGTGTACCCAGCAGTTCTCAGTCTGAGATTCCGGTGTGTATGTGTGTTTGTGTGAAGCCACAGATGAAAATTTAGAACTGGATGAGGCTGAGGTCAAAGCCCCAGGCCCTCTGAGTCCTTCTTCCCGTCAGATGGAGCCACCCTTCAACTTCCTTTGAGGGCTTCCTCTTCTACCACAGAATCCTGGGAATGGATGCCTCTCCCTATAGTTGCCCTCTGAGGTTCTTTCTTTTTTTTGAGACAGGGTCTTGCTATATACTACAGGCTGACCTTGAGTACTATGTAGCCCAGGCTGGCCTCAAACTCAAGGCAATCTTCCTGCCTCAGCCTCCTTCTCAAGTGCTCTCTTCTTCCCTGCAATGTTCATGGCTGTTTTGACACCCAGACCCTCCTGCAGTCTCCCCTTCTTCCTGGTGCAGCTGTGGGACAGCAGGGCCTGACCGGGCCTGAGAGGCCATTCCTGAGGGTTCCAGGCTGGAGGTGGGAGGCCGCAGGGCATTCCATGCAGGAGAGCTGAGGACCGGCATTGAAGGGCTGGGGCAGCCTGGGCCACCCGAGCTGTGCTGTGGTCACCCCAGCTCCCAGGCCTCACCCCTGACCCCAGGCGTGTGTGGAGACACTGGCTCCAGCTCTGTTCCCTGCCTGTGGCTGCTGCCTCTGCGGGCGCAGGGATTTGCATCTGTCCGGATGGTGCTTTGCTGGGGCCTGTGGTCAGCCATAGTTTGCATGGAGACTTCCTCATCCTGTCTTGGAAAGGGGCTTGGCCCCCTCCCCTGGCCAGCTGCGACCCTGCAGGGTGGGCTGGGCGGTCCCAGAGCTCCTAGCTGGCCCGGGAGGGTGGAGGCCTTGAGTGCCGAGGCCAGGCAGGTATGAGAGGGGTCAGCGGCCCCTCTGCCTGCCCCCGTCCCTGCGGTTGGAAAATGCCCCCCTCTGGCCGGGCTGAGGAAACCTCACCACCTCACTTCTCACTCTCTCCCCAGAAGTTTTGTTTTTTCCATCACGTGGTTTCCTGTGGGGCTGGGCATGTGGGGCTGCAGTTTCCTCCTGGGAAGGGGTGTGCTGGGGAGAGGCCTTGGTTCTGCTTTCTACCCTGGCCCCTCTGAGCCCCTGTGAAGCTGGCCTCCCAGATCTCAGCCCAGGCCTTCCCTGTGGGCCTTTGCGTCCCTGTTCTGGCCTCCCTGCCTCTGTTTCTGCTCTTCCCCAGCCCAACTGGCTCCTCCTGGCCTTTCCCTCCGTGTTGCCCCTCCAGGTATCCTGGATGTCACCTGCCTTTCTGCCTTAAGCTTTGGAGGTGGCTCTGGTTTGAAGCCTGGTTAGAACACTTATTCTTGTTTTTCATGTTTTTTTTTTTTTTTTTCCTGCTACCAGGCAGGGATCGAACTCAAGACTGTGTATTTGCCAAGCAGGCACGGTGCCGCTGAGCTACATCCCCAGCCCTAGCTTTTCTTATTTTTTATTCTGGGGAGTGAACCCAGGGCTTTCCATGGATGGGAGCTCCCACTGTTTAAATTTTCTTTTTTCCAGTCAGTACTGGGGATTGAACCCAGGACTCTGCAGTGGGCTACATGCTACATCCTCAGCCCCTAACCCTTTAAATTAAAAAAAAAAATTTTTTTTTTTTTTTTTTTTTTTTTTTTTGGTACCAGGGATCAAACTCAGGGCCTTGTGCTCGTGAGGCAGGCAGTGGAAGCACTGAGCTACATCCCTGGCCCAACAACAACTTTTTTGAGACAGAGTGTCACTACATATTCCAGGCTGGCCTTGAATTTACTATGAGCCCAAGCTGGCCTTGAACTGTAGCAGTTTTCCTGCCCCAGCCTCCTAAGTGCTGGGATTACAGGCTGCGCACCACCCGGGCTTGGTTAGAACTGTTGAGGTTTTTCTCCGGCTTGGTTAGAACTGTTCAGGTTTTTCTCCTGTCACTCGGGTCAGCGCCTGGGTGCTTGTGCTCAGCCTGTCTCGGCTGTAAAATGGGGACAACAGCTACCTCTCAGCCTGCTTTCCCAGTCCTCTGGGGCAGAAATAGCCGGGACCACGGCACGCATGGCCATGCCTGCTTCTCCCTCCGCACCTGTTAGGACAGCGTGGGGTGAAGTGTGGCAGGGCGTGAGCCCAGCCTGGCCCGTCCCTCACCTCACGGCCCTGCTCACCCCAGGTGGTACCATGGCCACATGTCGGGGACGCAGGCAGAGGCGCTGCTGCAGGCCAAGGGCGAGCCCTGGACCTTCCTGGTGCGGGAGAGCCTCAGCCAGCCCGGGGACTTCGTGCTGTCCGTGCTCAGCGACCAGCCCAAGGCCGGTGTGGGCCCTGCACTCAAGGTCACCCACATCAAGGTCATGTGTGAGGTGAGGCGGGGTCTGTCTGGGCTGGGCTGGGGAAGGAGGCTCGGACCTGATGGGGGCCTCTCGGCACCCCAGGGTGAACGCTACACAGTGGGTGGATCCGAGACCTTTGACAGCCTCACAGACCTGGTGGAGCATTTCAAGAAGACAGGGATCGAGGAGGCCTCGGGGGCCTTTGTGTACCTGCGGCAGGTGAGGGCAGACCATGCAGCCCACCCGGCCTCACCCCGAGGGTCCCCAGGTCTCTGAGCGGCCCCTGCTGTCCCCAACCCCCCAGCCGTACTATGCCACTCGTGTGAATGCAGCTGACCTTGAGAACCGGGTCCTGGAGCTGAACAAGAAGAAGCAGTTAGAAGACACAGCCAAGGCCGGCTTCTGGGAGGAGTTTGAGGTATGTGACAGGGCCGGCTGGGCAGTGGCCACTGTCGTGGGGTGCTGGGAGGGTGCTCTGATCCTGCCTGGCCGGTGCTCACGCCCCCCCTCGCCTCTCAGAGTCTGCAGAAGCAGGAGGTGAAGAACTTGCACCAGCGGCTGGAAGGGCAGCGGCCTGAGAACAAGAGCAAGAACCGCTACAAGAACATTCTCCCCTGTGAGCAGCCCCTTCCTGCCCTGGGGTCCCCACTGGAAAAGTGCCCCTTCCTCTAGAAGCCTCTTCTGGGGACCCCCTCACCTGCCCCCACACCCTCTTCCTATGAACCCCAACCCCAGGCACATCCACCCCTGCCGCCCGCCCACCGCTCTCTGTGAGCCACGGGCCCCCCCTAGCTTAGGAGACACCTGTGCTGGCTCCTGGCCACTTCCTCCTCTCCCCACCCTCTGCAGTTGACCACACCCGCGTGATCCTGCAGGGACGAGACAGTAGCATCCCTGGGTCTGACTACATCAACGCCAACTACGTCAGGGTCAGTGGGGGCGTTGTGGGCCGGGCCGGTCCTTGACCCAAGCTGAAGCTCATGTTTGGGGTGGTGGGGGACCGGGACTCAGTCTCTGCACTCGCACCCAGAACCAGCTGCTGGGCTCAGACGAGAATTCTAAGACCTACATCGCCAGCCAGGGCTGCTTGGAGGCCACCGTCAACGACTTCTGGCAGATGGTGTGGCAGGAGAACACACGTGTCATCGTCATGACCACCCGAGAGGTGGAGAAAGGCCGGGTAGGCCCAGCCCCTACACCGCCGCTTTCCGCTTTCCTCTTTCCACTCTCCCTTCCCAGCACGTGTTCAGCACCGTGGAGAACACTCAGAAGCCGAGTGGACAGGGCCCTCAAAGGTTTCGGGGAGGCCTCGAGACAAGGCATCCCCGGAACACTGTGACCCCAGACTCCTGCCCCCACCGTGGCCGTCTTCCCTCTGGAGTACCTGGGTCGTGTTCCCGAGCAGTCTGTGCTGTTCCTCTCGTTCTGACTCCCTGCTTGGTGTCACACTTGCTTCATTTTCTCTTTTCCTTTTTTGTGTCACACTGCTGGGGATCATAACCAGGACCCCACGTGTGCCAGGCAAGCGTGTTTGCTGCTCTGGCCTGGTCTGAACCTTGGGCAGTTTGGGGTGACCTGGAAGGTTTGGGGGCCACCACTGGGCTTCAGGTAGACCCGGGTCTCCTGATGCAGCTGCCTGGACTGTGAACCATCCACGTCACGTCTGCACCTCGCAGGATTTTGGGGCCTCACCCTTGCCCCTCTTTTCAGAACAAGTGTGTCCCCTACTGGCCGGAGATGGGCACTCAGCGCGCCTATGGACCCTACTCGGTGACCCTCTGTGGAGAGCAGGATGCGGCCGAGTACAGACTGCGCACCTTGCAGGTGTCCCCGCTGGACAATGTGAGGCCCCGCCTGCAGCTGCTGCCCTGCTGGGATAGGGCAGGATGGTGTGGCTGGGAGCGGGCCCGACCGTCTGTGTCTTCGGCCCAGGGGGACCTGACTCGGGAGATCTGGCACTACCAGTACCTGAGCTGGCCTGATCATGGGGTGCCCAGTGAGCCTGGGGGCGTCCTCAGCTTCCTGGACCAGATCAACCAGCGGCAGGAGAGCCTGCCCCACGTGGGGCCCATCATCGTGCACTGCAGGTGAGGGCCGCAGGCAGTGCGGGGCGGACTCCTGGCCTCTAGTTGCAGCTGCCCTGGCGTTGGCCGGGGAGGCTGGGCTCCCTCTCTGGGCCTCCATCCTCTGCTTCCTCCTCTGTGGCTCTGGGGGCTTCTTCATGGCTCCTTCCTCCACCTCCGTCCCACCCGCCAGGGCTGTGTAGGGACAGGCGGCTGTGTCACAGGTGGGGCATACCCCAGATAAGCGTCCCAGCGGCCTGGGGAGGGAGGCAGGAGGTCAGGGAATGCTTGAAGTCCAGCCCCTCCGCTTCCCAGCTGTGCTGTTGGGCGGATTAACCTTTCTGACCCCTATTTCTCCTGTGTAAATGCTGGCTCTGGGGTGTCTGGGTCACAAAGACCCCTTTTCTGGGTCTGGGATCCCCTCCCTGAGGACCCCATCAGGGAGGGGATGGGGAAATGGGAACACTGTCCTCTTCCACTCCCTCCCTGTGACCCAGGCTTCCTCCTTCCCCGGCAGCTGGCCATGCTCAGTCCTGAGGTGAGGCCGGGCCTGGGGCAGCCTTGCTGCCATCCGTCCTTTCATCTGGGCCAGGTCTGCTCTCTGTCCTGCGCTGGCCCGGCGGGTGCTCAGGAGCTACCCTCCTGTCCGCCCGCCCTTCACATGCTTCTTGAAATCCCCGGGGCCTTTATTTAGACATCACAGGAAGGAAGTGGGTGAGAGGGGTTATTTTTGACAATATGGGTTTGAAATTAGACAGCGACTCAGAGTGCCAGCCTGATGGCCCAGGCTGGGACCTCGGGCGCCACAATCTGTGTGCCCAGGTGGTGTGGGGGGCGTGGAGGGAGGGGAGCAGTGACCCCAGCACTCCAAGCCTTCCAACCCGGTCTGCCCTTGTCCCTTGCCCTGTGGCAGGGTTTGAGAAAGACGTGTGTGTGTGGAAACTTCTGGGACAGAAGAGGCAGGGTCACTTTCTCTTTGGTTCTAGGGCTGGAACTGAAGGCCTCTGAGCCATGAGCTGGGGAAGGCAGGCAGGGCCCAGGACAAGGGTAGAAGGTGGGACCCTGGTGGCCACCAGTCCAGAGCGGGGTCCAGCAGGAGTGGAGGATGGCAGTGGGGGCGTCTGTGTCCCCTACTGGGCCTGTGACCCCCTGTGATGAGGCGCAGGGCTGCCACAGGCGGGGTGGGGCCCCTGACGCCGCCTCCCCCTGTAGCGCGGGCATCGGTCGCACGGGCACCATCATTGTCATCGACATGCTCATGGAGAGCATCGCCACCAAGGGTGAGTCTGGGGCCCTGTGGCGTGGCCGGGTGGGCTGGCCCAGTCTCGCCTGCTGCCTGAGCTCCGGCCCTGTCCTAGGGCTGGACTGTGACATCGACATCCAGAAGACCATCCAGATGGTGCGGGCACAGCGCTCGGGCATGGTGCAGACGGAAGCACAGTACAAGTTCATCTACGTGGCCATGGCCCAGTTCATCGAGACCACAAAAAAGAAGCTGGAGGTCATGCAGGTGCGTGCGGGCAAGCGGGCGGGTGGGCGGCGTGCGAGCCAGGACTGACCACGGCTGCCCTGCCCACAGTCCCAGAAGGGCCAGGAGTCGGAGTATGGCAACATCACCTACCCACCAGCCCTGAAGAGCGCCCACGCCAAGGCCGCCCGCACCTCCTCCAGGTGGGTGTGCGCCCCGCCGCCTGCTCCCCTCCCCTGGCGCGGCCCCTGCGCCCTCACCTGCACCCGCCTGCCTGCAGACACAAAGAGGACGTCTACGAGAACCTGCACGGCAAGAGCAAGAAGGAGGAGAAGGTGAAGAAGCAGCGCTCTGCGGACAAGGAGAAGGGCAAGGGTTCCCTCAAGAGGAAGTGAGCTGCCTCCCGGCCGCCCGGTCCAGGCGACCCGGAGATTCCTGTGCCCCTGCGGACCTGACCGCAGCTGCCCAGACTCCTCCCCTCCTCCCTGGCCCCGCAGAGGCCTCCAGTGGGGGCCCCCCACCGAGGCGCCCCCCCCAAGCTGTGGTAATTTAAGACCCGCCTCCCCTCTCTGACCCTGTACAGAGCCCCGCAAGGCCCCAGGCAGAGCCAGGCCCTTCTGTTTTTGTAAATAAAGTTTGACAATCACTGTGTCCTCCGTCTGTGCTTTCCTCGGCTGCCCGCTGCGGGGCAGGGACGCTGGGTGGGCCCAGTTACCTGGAGCCTCAGAAATGGCCTGGCCTTTGGTCAGGTGGACCTGATTCTGGGGCTGCTGTATACAGTGAGTGTCATGAGCCAGGTGTCACAGTCTGTCCTTTCTCTCTCTCTCTCTTTTTTTTTTTTTTTTGAGACTATGTAGCCTGTGCTGGCCTCCAACTCACTATAGTCTCACTATATAGCCCGTGCTGGCCTGGAGATCCTCCTGCCTCAGCCTCCGATGCTGGAATTACAGGTGTGCAGTGCCAGGGATGGAAGCAGGCCTTACCAAGGGCTGTACCTCTGAGTCACACCCCCAGCACTCTTCTTTGAAATGGAAAATGAACAGTGTGGAAAATATGAACATACTATAGTGGGAGAAATGCCCTTCCTGCCTTCTTATCTCTTTTCACTGCTAACCCTTTCCTATGCAGATTTTTTTTCCTTTGTTGCCGGGGATTCAACTCAGGACCTTGAGCTTGCAAGGCAGGTGGCACCACTGAGCTAAGTCTCGAGCCTATCCTATGTAGACATTTGACATTTCCGCTGAATATTGTAAATTGTAGTTATTAGTTGATTTCTTGATAGTAGCCATTCTTCTGAAGTGAGAGTCAGTGTTGTTTTAATTTGTATCTCTCAGATAATCAGTGATGTTGAACATTTTCTCATATATTTATTTGCCATTTTTGGGGGGCGATGTTGAGACAGGGTCTCACTATGTTTTTGAGACTGACCTGGAACTCACTATGTAGCCCAGGCTGGTCTCAAACTCACAGTGATCCTCCTGCCTCAGCCTCCTGAGTGCTGGGATTACAGGTGTGCACCACCATCCCTAGCCTAACTGTAGTAAAAAAAATTTTTTTGGAGGAGCCTGGGATAAACCTTAGACTGCCAAATTAAGTACTGTACTTTAAAAACTTAATTTAAATAAATTTAGTCTTTATTTAAAAAAAATGGATCATCCTAATTCATCCCTCACCAGGGAGGCAGTAGACTTAGGGTTGACAACAGCAATGGTGACCCTGATTCCTTACTCACTGGCCACGAGGCCAGCACTGTTGATGACAGGTTTAAGTCACGCTAGGAATCCTGGTTTCTGGTGCTGGGGCGGGAACCCAAGGGTGTCCAAATGCTCACCACATGCTCACTCCTGAGCACACCCACAGCTCTGCCCCCCAGATACAGTGCAGTGCACTGAGGCACAGAGGTCAGGTGACTGACTGAAGGTCACAGCACTTCTGGGCTGCACAGCCCAGGTTTTAATCCAGGCCACCTGACCCCTGGCCATGCCCTCCTAACCATGGAGACACCACTGGGGCCCCAGAGGGACCCAGCACACCTGCAGGGCTCCCAGATCCAAGCACCAAGATCAGGACACCTAGGAAGTGGACTGAGCACACCCTCACTGCTGCCCCTACCAGGGCACGAAGGGACACAGGGCTGCTGTCCTCCTGCCTCCTTCTGGCACTAGGTGGTTCATCAAGAGGGCAGCGCCTCTTGGCGTATGGCTGTCTCCCCAGTGGGTGCTGGGCTGGCGCGAGACACCTGAGACTGAGGCTGAGGAGAAGGTGGGTCCCGGGCACAGCCCCAGCCCTGGGTCTGCCGCACTGGCGAGGGTCGGCTCCCGTCCAGGAATCCCCAGACCGACCTGTCCAGGAGACACAGCCAGAGTGTCCAAGGCAGATAACTACAGACAGGTATGAGAAGGGTGCAAACAAAGGGAGGCCCAGAGCAGGAAGGGCACAGGACTGGGCGACACAATAGCTCCCCAGTGGTGGCCCCGGGTGGGGCCGTCACCTGGCCTGGGGCCCCTCTCCCAGCAACGCCTGAACAGCTCCAGAGAAAGGCAGAGTCCCACCCTCCAACCGCCCTGGCCAGCTGCCCTTGGGCTGGGACTTGGACTCCAGGACTCGCCCAGTGTGGCTGGAGGGCTGTGGGAGGGCGGGTGCGGCGCGTCTCAGGTGCCCCTCAGTGGCTCCTCCCCTTGGCCGGCAGTGGGCCACCGCTGACCCCACACTGACCTCAGGGAGTCCTTCCTCCTGCTCCGGCCCTGGGGGCAGCAGCCGCTGCTGTGGACAGGACAGCATCTCTTTGTTCCTCTGGGGGCGGGAGAGGAAAGGCAGGTAGGAGCAGTGGGTGGGAGCCCTGCCGGAGCCCTGGGAGGTGGCTGGCCCGGGAGGGAAGGGGTTAAGGCGGCCAGGGCAGCCTATGGCAGGAGGACACACCTGTGTGCGGGGCGGGCGGGCCCAGGTGAGGCCGGGCTGCCCCAGGCGGGCGGAGGAGGAAGAGGAAGAGTGGGCCAGGGCGGGCTGCAGACACCGGATCCGGGCCTGGTCGCCCCATCTTCTCCGCATCCAACTCTGGGGGGCAGATGGGCCTGGCGACAGGTAAAGGCCACTGGACAGGGGTCGCAGGGCTGAGGGCCAGTAAATGGATGTCAGCTGGGGACAGGGACAGGCTGGGGGGTGGCGGGGAAGGGGCTAGAGGCTCCGGCAGAGGGGTGGGGGCCGTGGGGACTCCATGGGCCCGGCCTGGCGAGGCGGGCACCTGGGTGGGGGCCCTCATCTTACCCAGCAGTGTTTGGG